ACCTTGTGAGCTTCAAAAGGTGAGGAGATCCAGCCAGCAAGGTCCATGAGCTAGAATCCAAACTACGATTTAGTAGAAACCAGATGGTGAGGAACAAAGTCCTTTCATAGCTTCATTTGGTTTCTAGGAATCTTTGTGACTCACATTAGTTAAATGTTTCCAAATGTTTCAGCAAATTGCATTGAGTTTACCAGTCTTGTTGAGTTTACCTGTCTTGTTTGATCTAGCCTAGCAGTACTAGAGATGAAGACTCTTGGAGGTAAAGTTGGTGGGGTAAGGAATTTGATTAACTTTGAGCCCACTCTTCCTAGGGACTGAAGTGGTATAAGGGGGAGTGTGTCCTCAGATGTGGAGGGGAAATATTTATACTTCTGAAGTTAAATATTCTTTTGTAAAAGCTGAAAAGTGTAGGTATTCTAGCATCATCACAGGACCAGTGGTGGTGATATTTCAGGAGCAGATTGGGCCATTTCCCTTCCCCCTCAAATAATATCTAGTTTTTTTTTTCCTTTTGTGTAAAACTGCCTGATTACAGAAAGGTGATTTTTCACCTTGCTCGCTAGGCCAATAGATAAAACTTCTTACACAGTCACAACTGTAGCATACAAACCTCCCTGCTTTGGAAGGGATAATTCTTTGCTATATCATTAATAATGAGCACAGAGTACTAGTTACATAGTTAACCATGTATAAAAAAAAATTGACAATTTTAATTTACATTTAGATTCTAGTTGGAAATGGTTAGTAGAGGGAATTAAAGTTTATGACAAATTTAAGAATGTTATTATGGTCTCATTTTAAAATAGATTTGATAGTTGTCATCAAATGTTCAAGGGCTTCTGCAGGGGAAAAATGATTAATGCACAGAAGGAACAATAATCCAATAATGGTGTTTGATTTTTTGTTCCCCAAATGGTTGCTTCTCTTCTTCAGTCATCTCAAACTCTGGCTTTTTAAAAAAATCTGTTTCTAAATCCAACTGAAATTTGCCCTCCTGAGATAAGGAAAGAAGGGCAAATTAATGTGGAGTAGTCCAATAATTCTGGAAACTTGGAAATGTGCAAAGAATGTGACTAAAATATCTATACTGTTTGATCCAAAGATTCTACTGCAAGGCATGACCCTTAGCGAAAGGAATGGCTAAGGCAACTGTGGAATAGGAATGTGATGTATTATTAGTATGCTACAAGAGGCAATGAATATGAAGAATACAGGTAGGAGTGGGGAGATGTATGTGAACTGATGCAAGGTTAAGAAAGCAGAACTAGGTAAACAATATACAAAATGGCTCTAACAATGTAAAAAGAAAGAACATCAGTAATAAACTAAAAACTTAACATTCATTATAATGACCAAGCTTGACCCCAGTGAAGAACTATTAGAACACACCTTCCTTTTTTCTTTGAAAAATTGTGGGGTGGGGAAAATTAAGAATGTGGAACAATACACACGAGGATTACAACGCAGTAATTAAGTCCCACTTGGACTTGTTTTCATGACTCTGCTTACTTCCTTCAGCATTAGTTCATGTCAATCTTTTCATGCTTTTCCAGATTCGTCATGTTTATTTCTTATGGTATGATAATGTTCCATTAGGCAGCTAAGTGGTGTAGTGGATAGAGTGTTGGGCCTAAGTCAGGAAGACTCATCTTCCTGAATACAAATCTAGCCTCAGACATGTACTAACTGTGTGACCCTAGGCAAGTCACTTACCCCGTTTGCCTCAGTTTCCTCATTTGTAAAATGAACTGGAGAAGGATATGGCAAACCACTCCAGTATCTTTGCCAAGGAAACCCTAAATGAAGTCACAAGAGTTAGATACAACTGAAAAATGACCGAACAACAACAAAATGTTCCATTACAACCATGTACCTCAATTTCTTTAGCCATCCCCTAGTCAATGGGCATCTACTTTGTCAAGTAGATTTATCTAAATCCATATTTACCTTCTACTTCATGTTATTTATAAATAAATTAATTCCCCCTCTCATCTTAAAATCAGATAGAGAATTCTCTAATAATAGAATCTGAGCTATGGAAGATATCTTAAAGAATACTTATTCCAACTTCCTACTAGATCCAATAATTATTATCTCAAGAACATCCCTAACAAATAGTCATTTTTTCTTTCTGTATCACAAGGAATCACATCCTATTTTTAGGCATCTCTGGTTGTTAGGAAAACCTTTCCTTCTTTGAGCTGAAATCTGCCATCATTTCCACCCACTGTTCCTAGTTCTGCTATCTGAAGTCATACAGAATAAGCTTATTTTTTCTACCATGATAACCTTTTAAATACATGAAGGCAGTTATTATATGTCCTTCTGAAGTTTTTTTTTCCGGGTAAACTTCCCAAGTTTTTTTCAGTCATTCTTCTTACTACACAGGTTTGAGTTCTATCACCATCATGGTTACTAAGCAGAACTCTAGATGAACTTGAAATTGCCAATGTCTCTCTTAAAAGCTGGTGCTCAGAACTGAATATAATCTTGTCAGTCTATACTACAGGCATACCTTGGTGTGATTATCTCTCTTGTTCTGGTCTCTGCTTCCATTAATGCAATCTAAAATCACATTAGCCTTTTTTGACATCAGCCTTGCATGGTTCATTCACACTAAGTTTTCAGTTAACTAAAACCCTCCAATTTTTTTTTTCACATAAATTGCAATCTAGTCAAATCTATCCTATCAGGTATTTGTTATTATCTTTTTAAGTCAGAAGTATAGTTCTATATGTTTATTCCTTAATGATTTTTAAAATTTTATTTTTATCCTGAACTTAAAACACCAAAATGAGTATTTCCACATATATAACAAGAGGATTGCATATGAAACTGTGGGAGATAGGTGTTTTTATTATCATAATTATTTTACAATTGAGGAAACTGAAGCAAACTGAGGCTAAGTGACTTGTCCAGGGTTATACAGCTTATAAGTGTCTGAGGTCAGATTTGATTTCAGCTTTTCCTGACTACAGGTTTAGAACTCTATTTATTGTACCATGCAGCTGCCTTAATAATAGAAGCTGCCAGGTTCTATGGTACCTGAACTGCTTCTTTCTGGATTTTTGCTGTATATTTTTCTTTCACATGAAAGCCCTAGAGACTTCAGTTATGATGTTTTTGAAATTTTTCCTTTTCGGCTTTTTTTCAAGGAGTGATTGGTGCATTCTTTTCATCTTTACTTTGTCCCCTGGTTCTAAAAGACCTGAACAGTTTTCATTTATGACTTCTTGAAATATAGTTTCCAGGATTTTTTTTTAAAGTCACAGTTTTCAGAAAGTCCAATAATGCTGGCAACTGAGTGGATAAAATACTGGACTTGGAGTTAAGAAGACTTGAGTTCAAATCTGACCTAGATACTTACTAGCTTCATGACCCCAGGCAAGTTGCTTGACCTCAGTTTGCCTCAGCTTCCTCAACTTTAAAATGGGGATAATAATAACACCTACCTCTTGGGGTTGTTGTGAAGATCAAAAGATAATTATAAAGTGCTTGGTACGGTGTTCAGAATATAGTAGATGTTATTATCGTTATTATCATTAAATCATCTCTCCTTGACCTGTTTTCCAGGCTAGTAGTTTTAATTTTTTTAAAATATTAGATGACTTACATTTTCTTCTATTTTTTCTGATCTTTTGATTTTGTTCTTATTTTTCTCATTGACTCAGTCATTGATTTTTCATTTTGATCTATTCTTGTTTTAAGAGAGTCTGACATCTGGTAAGTTTATTTCATATGGCTCATTTGCCTTATCTAACTTTCTAAGAACCAACTAGGTCAATGTCATTCTGTTTACATTCAACTGAAAGACTGAAATATTCCAATGGGAATATTTGTTTCAGCTTTGTTTTATCTTTGTTTCAACGAAGATAAAAATAAGAGGAAAACAAATACATTCCTGAATGTGTACAAAATTCTATTTTTGCTCTCAAAACAGAAACAACCTCCTATAAGACTCACACAGCCCAGTAGAGGGGAGAGAAGTTGGGCCCACAAAGTCTTGCTGTTGCTGTTAAAAACTTCTACCACCAGTAACTTCTGCTCACTTTCATTTTTTCCCATGCAGTTCTTGACTTGTCTGACTTCCAGCACTATTTTCTTTGGTTATGATCATTATCAAGCTGCCCTGGCATGTTTTCCACTTATTTTTTAATATGAACCACCAGTTACAGATACCATCTTCTTCTTCCTACTCTGTTACCACCATGCTACAATCACCCTGTGCTTAAGCCCATATTCATGGTAGCTGAAACCGCAATGTCCTTCAGTGAAACCCATCTTTCAGGCGTAGCACTTCATGGGAAATACAGTCTTCTGCCTATTGGTTATACCTCTGCCTATAAGGAACTGAAGAAACTAAGAGAATTTATCATAGAATACAAAAGACTTAAGGGAAATATTATTGTACTCTTCAACTACTTGAAAAGCTACCACATATAATAGGAAAAATATTCTTCATCATTCCTATAGTCTGAATTATTAATAAGAGGGAGAAGAAAAGAAATAAGAAAGTGAGAGTTACAAATTTGTGAACATTTGTTTAGTTGAATTATCTTTCTTTTACCAGTAGTATTTAAGCAGAGGAGTGGAGATGACCATCTTACAGGGATGCTATAAAAAAGAATTCCTCATTGAACGGAAGGTCAGACTACCTGATTTCCAAGGTCCTTCCCAACCCTAAAATTCTATTACTTTACAAAATGCCAGTTTTCCTATCTTTGTTTTAAAGTCCTTTTAACCAGTCTTTGGCATGCATCAAATGTTTGGAGATTGAGTTTAATCTTTCTCCTAGGACCAATAAAACATTAGAGTTCTCAATTACAAGCAGTTTGGAGCTCTGTTGTTGCTGTCTCTGTCCACCACCTCCACCCCAGATAACATTGTGTAAATGTATAACTGCATGCACAATTCAGAAAGAGGAATACAGATAAAGAGTTACTAAAGGAAATTGTCACAAACATTTAAAATTAATTCCCTCAGGCTAGTGGGCAAGGGAGAGGGTCACTACTGGAACAATTTACAAAACAATTCAAGGAAGTTTTCTGTGGGAGCTGGGTGTTCTCCAAGAGGATGCTAGGGCTATTTTTTCAAGCAAAATTGACAACTGTTTCAACTTTAATTAATAGAACAAATTAATTCAAAGCCACTTATTAGACACTTACTATGTACACAGGTCAGGCAATACAAAATTGAAGTGAATCACAGCGCCTGTCTTCTAGGAAATACATTCTATTGGGGGAATGCTGTGCACAAAAATAATTGTACAAGGCAGAATGTAAGATTTGAAGAAGATATCACTTCCAGTTTGGAAGCTTAGGGAAGACTTCATGGAGAAGAAGGCACCTGAATTGAGTCTTGAAAGAAGGGAGAGATTTCAATAGGCAAAAATGGATGAAGTCAGGAGGGAACACATATCCCCAGGATGAAGACAAGGTAAGCCAAAATATAGAGATGAGAGAGGCTAGGAAATAACTATTTCGGATTGTGAAGGGCCTTAAATAACTAGCTCAGGAATTTATACTTGATTCAGTAAGCAATGAGGAGCCTGAAGGTTTTTCAGCAGAAAAATAGAATCAGAGATGTGCATTGGAAAGATTATACAAGTATTGCAATGAAGGCCAGAGTGGAAAGGCAAATGACTAGGGATATAGGTTAGTTATGATGGTATTTCAGCTGTCCAGCCAAGAGATGATGAATGCCTGAATTTCTATAATGGTAATGGGAATGAAAAAAAGTGGAAAGCTAGAAGAGTTGTTTAGGAAGTAGACCAATTTATTTGGTGACTGCGTGTAAGACAAGATGGAGGGGGAAGAGTCAAAGATGACCTCAGGGTTTCAGACTTAGGTAGCCTAGAGGATGCTTCATTAGATGTAGAAAAAGTAGAACAAACTTGGGGTGAAGATGTTGAGTTCAGATTTAGACACGTTGAATTGTCTAAGTCATGTGCAGATGTCCAAGAGACAACTGGAGACTCAGGGCTGGAACTTTGCAAAGATGTAAGTGAGGGTATTAGAAAAACATGGATAGATTTGCACAAAATAATGAAGAGTGAAATGAGCAGAACCAAGAGAATGTTGTACATAGTAACAGCAATATTGTTTTAAGAACAACTTTGAATAAATCATTTTGACTATTATAAATACCCAAATTAACTACAAAGGACATATGAAGGAAGATATTATCTGTATCCAGAGAAAGAACTGATCAGTAAAAGAATGTATAGGATAATTTTACATATATATATATATATATATATACATATTTGTATCTAATGGCAACCATCTCTAGGATGGAGGGAGGGAAGAAAAAAGAGAAAAAAGAAATTCATAATAGCCTTATTATATATTTAAAAGAATAGGAAGTTGTACATAATAGATTTACAGTTTCTTGTGCAATCATCTTTTTTATTATACTATGTTATGGAAAAGCTTGTTTTATTCCATAAATTAAAAATAAAATAAATTTAAAAATTAAAAAAAGGAAGTGAAGAGATGGGAGAACATCTAAAAAAGGGGTATTAATGGTGGCAAATGCTGCAGAAAAGTCTAGAAGAATTAAGACTGAAGAAAGATTATTCAATTTGGTGAGAAGGTATGTAGACTAGCTCTCTATTCACCATTATTTTATGACTTCTAGAAGGCATTCAGGATTATGAAAAGAGAAAGGATAGATTAGTTAGCAGTGTTAATGGCAAATGACATATATACATATATATATACATACATATGGCATGGGATTTAAGAGTGAATGAGAATACATCATTGAAATGGTTTAGTAAGAAGGGAAGGCATAGAGAGGAAAACAAGAAAGGCTGAAAGAAGGATGATGGACAGGGAGAGTCAATTAAGTCAAAAAACAGGTTTGAGAGGGGGAAGGATGTGGAAGAGGTAGCAGATGGAAGATTACAGCTAGGAGAGGAAAATGTCTGTTTTTAAGGTCTGGAAGTTAGAAGAGTTCCAAGTGATAGTGAAGTCCAAGGTGTGGCCACTGATAGTGGGTAAATAGTATGGTGTGGAGATAGATGTCATAGGAATTGAGGAGTTCAAAGAACTAAGAAAACAGTATTTCTTTGAAAAAATCATTATCATATTAACTTACTCTACAGGAAAATAGGGGGGAAGGGAATAAGAGGGGGGATGATGGAGGGGAGGGCTGATTGGAGGAGGGGGCAATCAGATAGTTGGTTTTCCACACCATGACTACTATGGAAGTGTTTTGCATGACTACAAATGCATAACCTGTATCAAGTTGCTTGCCTTCTCAATGAGGGTGGGTGGGGAGGGAGGAAGGGAGAAAATCTGGAACCCAAAGTTTTAAAAACAAATGTTAAAAAATTGTTTTCACATGCAACTGGGAAATAAGATATACAGGCAATGGGGTATAGAAATCTATCCTGCCCTACAGGAAAATTGAAGGGGAAGGGGATAAGAGAAGGGGGGAGGAGATAGAAGGGAGGGCAGATTAGGGGAAGGGGTATTCAGAATGCATGCTATCTTGGGGTTGGGGGAGGGATGAAATGGGGAGAAAATTTGGAACTCAAAATCTTGTGGATGTGAATGTTGAAAACTAAAAATAAGTAAAATTGTGCTCTCAAAAAAAAATCTAAAAAAAATCATTAGCATAGATTTTGAAATCTGTGAGAATTCTGCCATAGAAGGGATGAAGAGCATAGAATTTGGGGTAATGTCTTGGAAGTTAGTAAATGGTGGCAGTTGGGATTAGAAATAGTATGATCAGATGACATGATTTTCAAAGAAGGAGCAGATGTTGAGTGATGGTTGAAAAGCAAAGTTCTGATAGTGCCAATGAGGCAAGAGTATTCATCATCAGCAGCAGCAGCATCATAGCTAACATTTCTATAGCCCCTTAAAGTTTGCAAAATTTTTATTGTATTTGATTCTTATGACAATGCTGTCAACTCAGTGTTATTTTTATCCTTATTTTTCAGATGAGGAAACTGAGGTAGACAAAGGTGAAATGATTTACTCAGGATCACATAGCTGGTAAGTGTCTGAAGTAGAAATTGAACTCAGGTCTTCCTGACTCTAATCTGGGACTCTATGCACTGCAACATTTAGTTGCTCATGGGTTTGTCCACTTATCTTTTGGACCTTGTAAGATGGGATATGGGATATAGAAGGAATATGTAGTATGGCAAAAGGCTAATAATTGTTTAGTTATATCCAGTTCAGTTAAAGTGCAGCATGGTACATTGAGCAGAAATACCATAGAAAATATTGTATACTTGGAGTTAGGAGATCTGGATATGATTACCAGCTCTGGTACTTAGTAATTACGTGACCTTGGGCAAGTCACTTATTTGGTTCCTCATCTGTAAAATGAGGCAGTGAAGTGGATAGAGCAGTGGACCTGGTGCCAGAAAGATCTGAGTTCAAATTTAGTTTTAAACATTTACTAGCTCTGTGACCCTGGGCAAGTCACTTTAACCATTATTTGCCTCAGTTTCCTTATATGTAAAATGGTAATAATAATAGTAGCTACCTCCCAGGATTGTTATGAGTATTAAATGAAATAACATTTGTAAAATGCTTTTATAAACCTTAAAGTGCCATATAAGTGTTAACTATTATATCATCAATATTTGTTAATAACTAATATGGTAGCTATTATAGTTAATATCTATACTCTTGACCTCATAGAGTTGTGAGAAAAATATTTTGTAAACCTTGACATGCTAGATAAAGGTGAGCTGTTGACATTATTAATAAAGCAGTCAAACTAGTTCTGTGTGTCTTATTAGGTCCTCTATGTGCCTTTCTCTAGGGCACTGAAAGTTTATTTTTCACCCTGCTTCTATGTACATGCATGAAGTCTACAATCTCAAAACATGCTTAATTATACATATTTGCAGAAACCACAGTGCTTTCAGGAAGGGGGGGAGAAGGGGAGAGGTAGAGAGAGGGAGGGAGGGAGGGAGAGAGAGAGAGAGAGAGAGAGAGAGAGAGAGAGAGAGCGAGGAGGCAAGCGAGCTCACTACCTCTCTAAACCTCAGGGAAGGCCACAAACTACCTTACAATAATTCAATTGAATAAACATTTGTTATTACTGAATTTTTGTAATTTTCTTGATTTTTCATCTTTCCTCTTAGTCCACTGTGCTTTCCTAAGGAAGACGGTAAGGTTTATGGTGGCCAAAATACAGCACAAGTCACTGGTGGTTATACATTATAAAGGCAGGAATGAGGACAAGGTCAGATGAGGTTTTTGGGTGGAGTCCTTGAAATGGATTTGGAGAATACACAGTCATAGTTCTGGGGGATTTAAATGGAATTAAAATAAATTTTCTAATATCAAATCAGATAGTTGTCTGAGATGAAGGTTCTCAAACTGACACTGGGAGAAAGGCGGTCAAAAGAATAGAGTTATTTTTAGCTTGGGCCATCTGCCAACTGTTGTTGGGTGCCTGACGGGGTATCACATTCCTCAGCTATGTACTCAGAGAGCTATGGCCTTTCCAGCCCCTGTACCCTTCTGACAGCAAAGAGAAGAAACTGGCCCCCAAAGAGGCAAACAGGTGAAGTCCATCAGCTGATAGCAGAATCTAGCAACCATGAGACCAGTAGAAATGCCCAGGAAGATAACATGAAGGAGAGCAAAGAGTGATTGATGCCCAGCACAAAAAAAGGAGAAGGGAACAAACATCTACATAGTAGCTATTATGTGCCAGGCACTATGCTAAGTGATTATGAACATTACCTCATTTGATCCTCACAATGATCCAGTGAGGTAGGTGCCTTTATTATTCCCATTTTAACTGTTGAGGAAACCAAGGCAAACAGAGGTTAAGTGACTTACCCAAGGTCACACAAATCTGATGCAGGATTTGAACTCAGGAGAGCATCATGATGATGTCATGGAAAAGCACTGACAGATCTTCAGGTTTGTGTTTTCCTAGTCTTACATGTTCCCTCGTTACTCATGTTCCTAGTTACATATGTTCCATACATGTGCTCTGGCCATGTGGATTCTTAGCGTGTTCCCTTTCATCTCTATTCCCTGGTGACATATGTTCTTTACATATGTCACTTTGATGAGTGTTCCAGTCACATTTTTTTTTCTGAGTGTGTGATACACTTCACTAGTGGTACAATAACTTGTAGAATGTCTCCCGTTTGTGCACGTAGGGATCTTGTCACTTTATTGGCACTCATTTAATTAAATGTCTTTTGCTTTGGATGCTTGTGTCCTCTGGCTGTCTAGAAAAAGTAAATACATCAGTGCAGGCTATGAGCTATGATTTTGAGCATGTTCTGACCACAGAATGTCTCAAACCTGGACCAGCTTTTCTGGAACTTCTCAAGTGTTACACACAAAAGGATCATGAATCATATGTATATATATATATAGATAGATACACACACACACATATATATACACACACACACACACACACATATAATGTATGTATATATACATATGTATACACACACATATATACACACATGATATATATGTATATACATATGATCCATGATCCTTTTGTGTGTAATATATATTGTGTGTAATACATATATTATATATATATGTATATATATATACACATATCTACAAATACATATAAACATATATATTTGTATAAAGTGCCTATGATGTCAACCAGTCTGTCCATGAACATTTATTGCCAGACAGTGACCCTGGAGATGCAAAGGAAGGTAGAACACCGTCTCAAGGACCTCCAAGTCTAATATGACTTCATTCTTAGGATGATTCTTGACACTTTCTACATTCTTTTCTGGCACTGGGTTATGTCCACTGTGGAAGAAGAAGGGATGTGCACAGAGCTAGACATTTTGTATTTGACTCTACAGTTGGCTGTGACCAAAGAATTCATCACCTCGAAACCAACCTGCTAGTGATGAACCTTGTGGTACATAACCCTCCTGCAACTGGATCTATCCATCTATCCATCTATCCATCAATAAACATTTATTAAGGCCTTACTAAGTATGTACTATGCTATGCACTAGAGATACAAATACAAAAGTGAGACAGAACCTACTTTCAAGAAACTTACAATCTATTGAAATGTACCCAGGCTAGTAGACCCTTATAGAACTCTATGCTCTACCAACATAGTCTTTGAGAATCAAAGGTTACCTCTGTACCAGCAATTGATGGTGCAGTAGATAGAGAGGTGCATTAGGAATGAGGAAGACCTGAGTTCAAATCTGACATTAAGCAATCAGAAAAAAACTGAAACAATCACATAAGAAGGAATTTGTTCCAGATTACCAAATTAGTAAGTGCCTGAGACCAGATTTGGGATAAAAATTGTAGCAGACTTGTTATTAGTATCAAATGAGATAATTTCTTTTACATGCTTTACAACAGTACCTGGCAAGTTGTAAACGCTATATAAATGCTTATTCCCTTCCCTTCCTACCCCATGATGTAACACTGGAGTAGGAGTTCTGTGGGTAAGATGAAAATAAGATCCTATGGAAAGGTAAAAAAAAAAAAAAGTTTTTTAGTAAATAAGCTCACTTATTGAAATCTCAATCCCTTGATCTTCCCAACAGTCATTAACCTTTCCCCTCCCCAACCTTTTGTTGAGCCCTGCAGTTCTTAACGGGACCAAGCCCCTGCTTGCTTTTCCCAACGCTTCTCTCCCTGTGAACATTTTAATCATATTTAAATGAAACAAAAAAGTTTTAAAACGAATTATAGAGTGTTTTCCTTACACCCCTATTGGAAGCAAGAGACATGGAAAGAATGTGAAGTTTATCTTATGTCAACATTACATAAGTATTAAATATAAACAGCTCCAGAAAATGAATCTTTGCCCTCTAGAATATGTAACCTTTTCTGATAAATAATGTCTCTTACCAATTGCATTTGTGCTTTAATTATTATATATCCTTTTTTCTTTTTCTTTTTCTTTTTTCTTTTTTGGATGGAGCCAAGAACTCTCTCCTGAATGTTTGAGGCAAAGGTTGGTTTTATGAATCCTAATTTTGTGAAGGGCTTGAAAATGATGATAGAAGGTAAGACAAGAGTGGAAGCAAAAATCCTGAGGCCAAGAAAAGCAAAGGGTGAGGGAAAAGGCAGTGAGGTCAGAGGACCTGAGTTTGAATTTCAGTTCTGCTAGTGAGTTAATTAACCTCACTGGGCCTTGGTTTCCTTACCTGTAAAACTAAGGGGATTGGACCTTGAAGTCCCTACCATCTCTAAAATTCTAAAAGGAAAGAACTTCTGAAAGGAAGAACTTGAATTAATTGAGAGGGGGTTAGATTGAGTGAGTCAGAGCTGGACAGAGCAACTTAGGGAATATGACCTAAGCTACCTAGAAAAATAGATTTAACTTATTCAAGAGACTTTTGTACCTGGGTACCAGGTAGAATAAAACAGCTAACTTGGAGATACTGTTAAACCATCTGAAAGCAGTCTTAGCCTCTGTCTAGTGCCAGTGATAGATAATATCCTGAAAGAACCTTACTTCCTTTTTCTTTCTTTTTATTTTAAAATTATATTTATTTATTTTGTCCACTTCTAGGACCACTCCCTGTGCATCCCCCTACCCCAAGCTATAGGACTAATCCCCATGCATCTTTCTACCACCAGCTCTGGGTCTCCTCTCCATTGAACTCTCACCCAGGTTTCCTCCCCCCCCCCCTCTCTCTCTCACACACACACACACACACACACACACACACACACACACACACACACACAGCTGTGGGCTCCCTCCCTGTGCATCTCCTCCCTCCCTGCCCCAGCTCTGGGTCTTTCCTCCTTCCCATCCCTCCATTCTCTCCAAGAACCTATTTTCTTAAGGTCCTTGACCTCATGACACATTGTTCTTGGAGCTAACTGCTCTTCCTTAGCTTCCTTTGCTGGACTATCAGGAATCTCTTATCTCCTCAGGATGGATGTTTTCCAGGCCTTAAGTCCTCTGTCCTATGCTTCTTTGTTTTGGTACTGCCATGTTTAACTATTCTGCCTATAAGGGTGACTCCCAGATTTACAGATTCAACTCTACTCTC